AAAAAAAAAAAAAAATGATTCAATAATTTAATAGATGTAAAATCACCTAGTATATACTGTTTGGGACTCAATGTTTGTTTTCTAAAGATCGGATTAATTTTTAAATAAATAAGAAAGACGTCACTCCATGCCTCCACCTGCCCACGAGAGAAGACAAAGACTGAACTCAGTGTTGGTGGGGAGGGAGCTCAGGTCTGTACCTTGAAAATGGAGGCATCAACTTCCTGATTGTAATCTTGTTTGCCTGCATGCTTCCAAGGGATCCGGAACATACTCTTCTCATCATTTTCCCAAATCAGCCCTGGATACATGTTGCTGTCGATTTGTTCGATGAGCCACTGCCGCAGCCGCCGCCCGCCGTTCCGGTCACACATCCTTGGAAAGAAGACAGCACGTTCTGTGATGTTAACAATATTGTCTCATTCAGCACAATGACCCATGGACTCCTCAGCCAACGGCTGCTATCAGGAAAATCAGAGGGTGGCGACAGAGGTGGAGGCTTGGGGGAAAACCTCCAGCTCCAGGAACTCAGGGGAAACCTGCTGTGAGAAGACAGTGCTAGCCTCCCAGGCTGAAAGCCAGGAATGAAAACTGAAGGCTCCCTGGGAAATCGGCTCCATGCCAGCCAGATGTTAGCAAATACAACAACATGTAACATCTAAGAGCGTCATTCCTTTCTTAGCATGAAACAGGGAAAAATTATGTTAACATTTTCAGGTACCTTCAATGAGTATTGGGGTCCTGGTGGCACAGTGGTTAAATGTTTGCCTGCTAACCAAAAGGTTGGCAGTTTGAATCCACCAGCCGCTCCTTGGAAACCCTATGGGGCAGTTCTACTCTGTCCTACAGGGTCACTATGAGTCCGAATTAACTCAATGGCAATTTTTTTTTTTTTTCCAATGAGTATTACTCTAGCCCATTACTCTAGAGCTAATCTGATGCTTTGATGACTGGTCCACTGGTTTTCCTTAATAGGATCAATATGATGGGTGAGTTCTCCAAGATGGACTAAACCCTCAGGCTGTGGCTATTCCTTCTAGGTTGTTCCTTCCCAGCTGGTTTAGTGCTAAGAGCATGAGCTTGGGGATGAGGCAGTGCCGGGCAATCTGGAATTGTCCTTTAACTCCACTGCACTTCCGTAACCCTGGCTATAACGCCAGGGTGACTATCAGTGCTTTGCAGCATTGTTGTGAGGATCTGAGCTAATGCGTATAAAGCACCTGAAACAGTTCTTGGATTCTAGAAGATTCTCTCTAAATAACAGCTATTGTTATTATCATCAAACCTTTCTTCCTAGGGACCCCTTATGACAAGAGTGAGGCAATCAACTGCGGCTACAGAAGAGAGCAAAGTGAGACAGGTCAGACTCTTCCAGAAGGCACCACAATCTAGGGAGCACCCAACGGCATCCTTGGAAGCACAGTCTTGCTACAGCAGGCAGGTTTCCCAACAGAGAGAGGAGAACAATCGTGCCATATTGACTTACAGCCATCATTTACAAGAATAGGGCTGGAAATCCCCTAGACAGTTGGACAGACGCCCACCCAAAAAAGAAAAAAAATAGCATTGCTTTTTTTCCGCTTAAAATGTGACCTCTTCAGGCAAACAAGTTTGAAACAATCAGCAGTGACAAGATGTAATGTCCCTAAGAATATGGTCACATCCAGAGCCATGCTGTTCTACCAAGCCAAACAACTGCCAGCAACCTCTGAGGAAGTGGACATTCTGGAAACTCTGGGCTACTGCAGGTTGCTGTGGGGGGAAAGAGGGGAGCCCAGGTCCCAGGGAGAAGCAAGTGAGGTCCCTCGAATGCCCATTTTTTAGCTTTTTCATCCAATAACCTCAGCTTCCAGTTTGTGGATTTAAAAAGGGGTGTAGTGTGTGAGATAGAATTGGACTTAGGCTCCAGTAGAGGTTCCTTCTCTAACTAGACCTGGGGGACATTACTGGGATGCCTCTGAGGCTCTCCTGCCTGTAGAGGGGGGATGCATCTCCAGCTTTGGAGAATTCTAAAACAGTCCATTGTGTTTATAAATAAGAAGGGACTGATTTGGGAGGGGCACCTAGTGAGAGAAATCAAACAAAACCACCAGCTCCCCCAGAAAACAACTTACCAGGGGGCACATTCCTGCAGCTCTTTCCTGGAGAGAAGGTAGAGTTTTCCCTACCTTGAGGAATGAGCTGCATGGGGGTGTGGGCAGGGGGTAAGTCAGAACACAACAGTGGGGTTTATATCTGTGTATGTGTCAATGAAATGAGATGTTTCCACTCAACATTTTGCTCATCCTCTTATTAAGGGGTTCTTAAACTAGGGTCCATGCTCCATGAGCCTCCTGAAATCAAAAGCAAAATTTTGTTTGCATGGGCATTTTTCTAGCGAGAAGGTTGTCAGTGTTCCATTATAACCCCAAAACCGTTAAGGACAGCCGCCTTGGTGATTTACAGGAAAAGAAAAGAGAGAGAGATGGCATTGAGAGGAAGAGGGAAGCACAGGATATGAAAGCTGGAAAATGCTTTTAAAATCATCCAATCCAGCCCGCTCTGTTCAAAAGAGACAAAACTAAGGACCAGAAAGGTATAGTAAATACTCAAGAGCTCCCAGCAGACTTGTGTCAGAACTTGCACACAGGCCTAGGGAACAGAGGCAGGGGCTTGTTTTACTCACTACACAAAGAAAAGCCCTGGTTGAGTTCTGAGTTCACTACATAGGGCCAGCCCCATCTGAATTCTCTTTGTGAAGGCCTCTATGGTTCTAAGCAACATTAAAAACCTAAGATTGTATTACATAATGAGTTATTGAACACTACCAAATTAATCCCACCAAATGCCCAGCTAGAAAAAATTAATAAGCCCAGTCACAGGTTTATACCTTCCTCTTCCTTAATGTTCAGGTAATAATTCTCTCTGTTGGCCAAGTCCTATCTGGAGTTATTTCATCTCTATAAACGTGGGAGGCTTCCCAGGCAGGAGGTGATAAGAGGCTTCCTTGCCCCTCAACTTGGATTCCAGAATGTGCTGAGAGCAGTGCAACAGGATCCACCTGTTTGCACATCTCCTAGGGCCGCAGTATTTGCCCTGGCCCCCTAGTCAACCCCATCAGTACCAGACCAAAAAGCATCCAAGCCTTTGTCCCTCCAGCTCCAACCTCCCTGAGTGACCACCAAAAAAACAAAACAAAACAAACCCATTACCGTGGAGTCAATTCCGACTCATAGTGCCTTATAGAACAGAGTAGAACTGCCCCATAAGGTTTCCAAGGCTGCAACCTTTATGAAAGCAGACTGCCACATCTTTCTCCCTTGGAATAGCTGGTAGATTCCAACTCCAACCTTTTGGGTTAGCAGTCAAGCGCTCAACCACGGTGCCACCAGGGCTCCTCCCTGAGTGACCCAGTAATCTCCAATTCTTACCATGAAGGACCTGCCATGATTCAAAAAGACAAGCTTAGAACTACTGTCATTTAACTACTGGCTCCTACCTTTTAAGTGGGGGGTGGAGGGTGGGGAGAACAGTTTAAACTTCTGAAAAGTTCGTCTCTACCCTCTACTCATAAAGTACTCCACAACTCTGGATAAATAATCTATTTCCGCTTGGAGAGTCTGTCCTATGCCTTGGGGAGCATTTTACACCAACATGCTCTTGTGAGCTGTGATACTAGACAGCCTATCTAGTATCTAGTACCACAGGGGCGACTGGCCTGTAATGGAAGCCAAGGACCCACACCGGACTCAGAAATCTTGTCCAGACACACGTGTTGCAGAAACTGTTATTAATCCACAGCCCACGCCGCACAGAGAAGCGCTGGTTAAGGGGCAGTTTCACACTATGACCATCCAAGCATTATATTGTGGGGTAAAATTTCAGCGGAACGATGGAGCGAGTCTTATAATAAAGCGGGCCGCTATTTCCCTGCATTATATGAGCCACGTTTACAAGTTTTCCATGCACATCAAATTTTCAGAAAAATGCGATTTACCAAAAAAAAAAAAAAGAAAGAAAAAAAGTAACCAATCTTTGGGAACGGCAAAACAGTAATAAGCGATTTCGAGATCCACTTTGGTGGCCAGATAATTAGGAAAAAATAGACACCGAGGGGGGACGGCAATTAAACTGCGCCTGAGGCGATATTACAGTAGTTTCATCCTTGCGTCCCCGCCTGATGTCTGGGGACCCACGCGGACTGGACCGCGCGGGACGCGAGTCCTCTGTCCGCGGAGGGGCCGGGCGCCTACCTGCCTCCGGAGCGCGCCGCTCGGGTCCCGCGCCCGCCGCCCTAATTTCGCGCCCGCCGCCGGCGTTCCGAGTCTGCCTTCTCGGTTCCCAGGCCCGCCGCCCGCGCTCGGGGCGAAGGGGCCGCGGGCTCCCCACGCCCGCGGCGCCGCGGGTTTAAGCGGAGGGCGGACCCATGCGTCCCACCTCCGAAACGAGCGGCAGCCGCGCTGACCAATGGAGCCAGGGAGCGGGGGCGGCGCCGGGGCCTCTCAAGGGGCCCTCTGCGCCCTGCCCGCGTTCTGCTAAGCCCTCCGCTTTCCGAGAAATCACTTTGCTGAGAAGGCGACCGAGGCGCGGGCAGCGGCGGGGTCCGGGCAGCTTCCGCCCGGCGGAGCTATACTCCTTCGTCCGGGGGTCCCGGGAGCGCGGGCGGGGGCTCCCCTCAGGAATTCCCGCGGGGGCGGGGAGCGGGGTCGTCGCAGAGTGATCTGCGGGGGCTCGGGCGACCCAAGCGACCTCTCCGAGGACCCCCGGCCGAGTGGGCCAACGTCACAGGGAGCGGTGACCGAGGCGAGGAAAGGCCCTGTCCGACGGCCCTCGACAGCTAGTCGCCCGCGGGTGACCGGGAATGGCAGAAGCCACTGCTGAGTGAAAATCAGAAATGACAACGAGGAGCGCCTGACATCATAATATTGAAATGTCCAATGAGGAAAATGTTTATTATAAGTTCTTTTCCTCAGATAAATGCCAGTTGTGTAAAGTAAAGGCCCCCGGTGTGTTTGTGTCTCTAATTCCAGCCCTCCTGGGTATTAGCTGGCATCTACTGTAAATATGGAAGTGGGGTGAGGGAGGGCAGCACAGGTGAAAAAAACGAGAAAAAAGTCTTGCAAACAAAAGGAAAAAGAAGTGTGTTCCCACGGTCCGTTCTGGAGTAGCCTTGTGTGCCGTGGGGTCGATTCCGACTCTTAACTACCCTGTATGACAGAGTAAAACTGCCCCATAGGGTTTCCTAGGCTGAAATCTTTAGTGGAGGTCTTTTCTCCCGCAGAGCAGCTGTTGGTTTCCAACTGACCTAACAGCCGAGCTCTTAACTGCGCCATCAGGGCTCCTTGGGTAGCCTTAGGACGGAGAAAATGAGGGTTGCAACTGGCTTTAGTTTCTGAGTTGGAGAATCACAGAAGCAGCAATGTTTATGGGGCCATTTTATTCACTGGACTTTTTTCAAGGCTCTGAAAATGTTTGAGACTGAAAAATTTTATTGACCCAAAATATGAAAAGTACACCGCAAAACTGGTTTTAGTAAATATTCAAAGGTCCACAAAACATCAACTTTATAATTGTAATTAAGTGGGACAATTTTCATTATATTTGAAAACTAAAACATTTGTTAAGATAGAAATGACTTAGTAAGAATTTCCTAATAATACAGCGATCACTGGGAAGTCATAGCAACCATAAATTAAATGAGTTCTCCATGGTCAAGTAATTTCAAATGAGAATTATTTTTAACTCAGATTCCTTAAGCATATTTAGATAATGTGGGAGTGCTCTAATATGTTCGCTCTGATGTGGGATGCAGCTTCCAGAAATAAGAGCACCTAGGACCTAAGAAGGTCCTAAAACAGCTGCTACTGATGTTTATATTCATATCTTTTCACAAATATGCCCCTTAAGCCTACTTACAAATGCTGCCTGCTGCACAAAGTTGTAAACTCAAATTCCACTCAATGCTGTGCTTAAAGAGAGGAGAAAATGAATGTGGATGAAGTCAGCAGTCCAAAACTATCCTGGTTTACAGCACATATTGTTGGCAGTAGGTGTCACTATAAACATGGCAGGAATTGCTCATGGTAGACTGGCTTACATTATGAAGGCTCTTCAACCCCATATTTTCAACGTGGTGATTCCTCACTGCCTAGGAGCATGTCTAATCCTATCTGTTTTAGTTCTGCTCATCAAGCATTTTTCCAACAACTACCATGAGCAGATATGGTGCCAAAGACAGGAGACGCAAAAAATGAATAAGATGTCTCTCCAATTATTCTTTCCTCTCCAGTTACCTGCCAGCTTCTCAATCCCAGTAAACTTCATTCTGATTCCTACAGTAGCCTCCCACCTCCAATCATACCAACTCCCTGCTGATTCTATTCATGGCTCTCTCTGTGTAAGCCTTTCTACAGTGACTTACCAGTGCTTATCAGCAGGCCCAGGAGCTCATCTGACATCTAAAAATCATACTTACCCATCCTTCTCTCTTACCATCATCCAATGGGAACTTCTATTCTGTGGATGGCAACATATTGAAGCAGTTAAGATGGCAAATTCTGGAGTTGGACCCCAGTTCAAATCAGCTCCCTGACCCTTCTTCCTAAGCCTCAGTTTCCTTATCTGTATAATGGCATTGATGATAATATTAGGTGGAATTATGTGACATTGCCAATATTCAACTGTTTTTGACCTACGGAAAGGACATTTTCGTATGATTGAAACTAATCATTTCCGCGAGTCCCTGGATGGTGCAAATGGTTAAGCGCTCGACTACTAGCTGAAAAGCCGGCAGTTTGAACCCACGCAGAGCAACCTCAGAAGACAGGCCTGGTGATCTGCTTCTGAAAGGTCACAGCTTTGAAAACCCTGTGTAGCAGTTCTACTCTGATACACACGTGGTTGTCATGAGTTGGAGTCAGCTCATTGGCAATGGGCTTGGTTTGACTTTTGGTACTGGGCACAGCACTGAATTAGGGGTGCCTTAAATAGACAAGTGTAAGTTCATTGCAAGAGAAAATCTCAGGGGAGGGGACAAAAGGAGAAGCTGAGAGAGCATTTGTTAATCTTTCTGCTCCAGCAGATGTGTTATTTTTTACACCTCTCTGGGATGGGGGTTCCCACCACCACCCCCAGGTTCAATGACTCACTGGGAGGTCTCACAGAACTCGGCATATGGCCATGCTCAAGGCTGTGATGTATTACAGTGAAAGGACACAGAGCAAGATCAGCAGAGGGAAAAGGTGGATGGGGCAAAGTCTGGAGGAAACCAGGCACAAGCTTCCAAGTCCTCTCCCAGTGAAGGTTGCCCAGGACATGCTTACTTCCCCCAGCAACCAGTGACAACATGTGTGCAATGTTGTCTATCAGGGAAGCTCATTAGAGACTCAGTGCCCAGGGTCTCTGTTAGGAGCTGGTGATCACATAGGCTTCCTCTATCTAGCATGCATCAAAATTCCAGACTCTCAGAGAAAAGCAGGTGTTCAGAGTAAACCACATTGGTGGCACAAGCACTGAGCCACTCTTATCAGTTAGGGCGGTGGAAGCCAAGTTCCCAGATGCCAGATGCCAGCTGAGGGCCAACCTGGCACGCAGGCCTTTCCAGGGATGTGGCCTCAGACCTGCAGGGTTGGCTCTGTTCTGCATGCCCTCCTCATTCTGAAGTCGTTTATAACATGCAACACCTGCTGCACCCATTCCAGAGGTCCCTATGGCTGTATTTACCTGCCATGAATTAAAAGTAGGTTATCTTTGCTTGTGCTTAACTGCGATGAGGACACGTGTTTGAGGATAAAGGAGCCACTACATGCCGGCATTTCAGAGGATGGGTGGTGTTATGGATTGAATTGTGTCCCAAAAAAAGTGTTGTAAATCCTAACCTCTATGCCTGTGGTTATAATCTCATTTGGGAATGGGTTGTCTTTGTTATGTTAATAAGGCAGGGTTAGCGTAGGGTATATCTTGAGTCAATCTCTTTTGAGATATAAAAAAGATTAAACAAGCAAGTGAGCAAGCAGAGAGGAGGAAGAGAGATGTCAAGCCACGTGGAAATCTCCAAGGAACCAGGAAATAAGCGGAAGAGATAAGGACCTTCCCCCAGAGCCCACAAAAAGACTTCCCCTACAGCCAGCGCCCTGAATTCAGACTTCTAGTCTCCTAAACTGTAAGAAAATAAATTTCTGTCTGTCAAAGCCATCCACTTGTGATATTTCTGTTACAGCGGCACTAAATAACTAAGAATGAAGAGATGGCACGTGTGATGTAGAATATGCCTGGGAGGGGCCCCTCTCATGTAGTGCCTGTGGCCACACCATAGCAACTTTTTCCCCTCCATATAACTCCTGTGCACTGAATCAGGCACCAATGATGTAAGAGGACTTTAAGCTTTTCTTACATTCTGAGGCTTTAAAGTTCTCCATCTTATCTGCTCCCTGATCATGCCTGCTGTCTTCAGCTCTATCTGCCAGCCAAATGCATCCCAGTATGCTTCCCTGGTTCTTCTGTCTTCCTGAGCTTAATTTCAATGCCCTCCAAGTATAAATTTGGGAATAGGAAATGTGTAAATTTTTGAAAATTTTACAGATTGTGTATTTCCATATGATAATAAATAAATGACAACTCTAATGGAATTGGTGGTCTTTGACATGTCGTATTAATCCTAAACTGTGTTTTCTGCAAAGACCACATCAGTACAATCACTTATTGCTTTTCTCCAAGAATAGCAACACCAAATCAGAGAAATGACAGTTTCCAGAAATAGTACTAATGCTGAAACCGTGGATGAGTGAAACCAGAGAAAACTAGATAGACAGGCCAGAGAAACAGGAAGTAATAAGACATCTATCAGACCGTAGATCATTGATCCAATAAGAAAGTCTTTGAAGTGTACATAATTTGCTTGTGTCTGGGCCATAGATCAGAATACAGAGTAAACAAAACAGGACATTTGTGATAAAAATCTAACCATCAAGAAATCAATAAGGGGGTTGGCAAAGATTTCTTAAACAGGACACAGAAAGCCCTCACTATAAAAGAAAAGATATATAAATTGGACTTTACTAAAACTAAGAACATATGTTTATCAAAAGACATCAGGATGTGTGGCTAATTGCCCCCATAAACAACTGCCTCCCTTACCATGAGACCAGAATGGTGCCTGGCTACCATTTTTGAACATTTTGATCAAAGATTCTATACAAGAATCCTAATCAAAAGGGGAAAAGTACAGAACAGAATTTCAAATTCTCGTAGACTCTAGACTTTCTGGAGGCACGAAGTTTGAATGAATCCCTGAAACTATTACCCTGACATAATCTGTAAATCTTAAACCAAAAATATTCCCTGAAGTCTTCATAAAACAAAAAAATAGTTTAACTTA